TTTGAAAAGTAGCAGAACGTTGGAACCCGTTAAATTATATAATACTGATTATAAATGGAGTTAATTTTTTAACAAAACAGGCCAGTCTTCAGATCAGTCTATTCCATCTCGTAAAATAGATATGAGTTATTTAGGTCCCGACGCACTACGCCGGAGAAATTTGAAAACGCCGTTTTCACTCTCAAAATGTATCAAATGTTTTTAGTCCACACTACGCCGGACACATTTTCAAAAAGCAACAATCACCGGTCATTTTGGATTTGTGTTTGAGGAAAACTAGGGCAGGGAAATCACATGATAATCATGACGTCACTGTTTTCGAAAAGCTCCGTTTTCGTGAAAGGTTTGTGTGGACGGTAGGCCTGACCGTAGAAATAAAGCTGGGTTTTCAAATCTCTCCGACGTAGTCTGGACGTGGCTTTAGTTTATGTATCCTTGTGTATAAATTTTTAATTTAACTTTAAGTTTTGACGTCACATTTTTAACTATCTTCTACTGATAGAAACATATTTATGCTAATTTTGTATGTTTAACTCGCAGTTTGTATCGCTAGTTTTTATCACAAAAACGGTGTAATGTAGTTATTGTAAAAAACAAAAAACAAGCAATAACAACAGATGTAAATACGGGATTGAAGTATTGACAAGTTAACAAATAAAATAAATAATTCCCCGCTAAGAATCCATACCCAGAGGACATGCAGCAGCAACTATAGTTCTCCTCGCAGTACTTGTCGCATGGTTCATATTGAGGTGGGCAGTCCCTGTTCTGCTGGACGCAAAACTCTTCCAAATCGTTCTTGCACTCTGTAAACAAAAACAACGAAACATCATTTGTTTGTTGGCAAACAACGAGTCATGCTCCAAACACAACCTAAGAATTGGAGTACATTCTAATGAATATGGTCACAAATCAGTTAAAAGGTACAATTTGAACAACGTGCGTTTCTCGTCAATGGAACAAAAAGACACTCACCTTCGCCATACTGCCTGGCGTGCAAGGGGTTCATCCTCTTGTTTCCGGAGACAGCACCCTGCACGGTAAGGGCCCCCAAAATGATCAACAACAGGCAGGCAACTTTGGTGTCCATAACTACTTTAAAAGCAACAGAAAACAGGTATCAAAACTTAGGGAAAACAAATGCACAACGTTCTTAAAGCTTCTATGATTTAAAGAAGCTCAGTCACGGTATTTTGAGTTATTTTGACCACGTACAAAATATTATTTTTCAATTATAGGGAACCTGAAAATAGTGGCTCACTAAGATAGAGAAACACCAAAAAGATAATAATATACCATGAACGAACGAAGAAGGTTAAAGTGCCACTAACCCCCCCCAATTTTTTTCTTTACTATAAATTTCCTTTTTCTCCTGATCACCACTGCGGAAAAATTATCGTTGTAGCTATTTTCATTAATTTTCTATGAATTTTTAAAGTTTGTAAATTTGCCCTTTTTCATGTTCACGACCGCGGAATAGCGAAGAATGGGACGAGTTGGCTTTTGACGTCACCTTGGGAATAACAATATTTTGTTTCTGAGAAGAATGTATGCGAACATGCGATAGTGTGTGTCAAAATCGTTGCAGAATGCAAGGAAGATATGTTGTTGGAGGCTGTAGCAATACAGGATGCGTAAAATAGAGTATTCCTCTTCATTCAATACCTCTATCTCGATGAAACTCTACCAGAAACTAGAAAAAGACCAAAGAAGTGCGCTGATCTATGCGAAGCTAAAGCCGGGGAGCCATTGAGGATTTCTTCGATCTCGGGGTCGCCGCTACTGTAAAGACCTAGAGATTTTCATGGCCTGTATATTCTTCTCTATCTCTAGTGGAAAGCTTGAAATTGTCAAGGTACTGCATAAGACACGAATTTGGCATAAGCTGGAAGCCATCTGACTATTTCGAGCGCAAACGAAACTATAGGTGAGTCCCAGACGAAGCTATAGGTGACGAGATTACACGCTAAATTAAACGCATCGCGTTTTGAAATAGAGACTTGTCTAAACGAATAGCAAACTTGACCTACGTTCTACAACGACGCGAAGAAGATTGTTGAGGCTTCCAACTTGTGAACAAGCCGTGTATTTGTGGATTTTAATAAAAACACACGCACGCCGGAGGTCGCCTGTAATTTGGCCGTGTTTCTCAATGGCCATTCCGAATACAGAATTGTTTTCCTCTTTGAGCTTCGTCTTTGAGGAACGAAATACATCTAAATTACAAATTTAGAATGGATCAAGCATTTATAAATATATGAGGAAAGTGAAACAAACGATTAAGAGCCACTGCCCATAAATATGGACCAAACAACGGCACAAGTCGAAAAATCGATTTTGCTCATTTTTTGCCCATAGATTGGCCCTAGCTAGAAAAC